TCGTCTAGCCATACAAACCATAACCAAGATAATGAAAGTGAGGAAGTAGCGTTATATATACATGCTGTAGCCGCATTGTGTGGGGCTATTGCATATGAAACAGAGTTCAACATGCAAGGATGCCAACCTATACATACATCTGTATTAAATGGTCATGATTATATGGTGGAACTACTAAATGGTCATCATACAAGAATATACAATAAGTGTCGCATGAGCAAACGATGTTTTCAGACCTTATGTTATTATTGGCACAATAAGGCAAATTACGAGTAACCAGGCACATGAGTATTGAAGAGCATGTAATGATATTTTTGACAACAATTGGGAAAATTGCGTCAAACAGTGATTGTATGGAGGATTACCAACATTCCGGTGAGACAGTCTCTAGATATGTCCATGCAGTTTGTGATGCGATATTGGAGTTGACGTCAGACTTTATCAAGCCACCTGACTTCACTAATGTTCTATTGGAGATATCGACCAACCCAAACTACTACCCATTCTTTAAGGTATTAATTATTTTTAATTAGTTGGTAGTTAAGTTCATTGTTTCATAATTGTTGTTCGTCTTCACATATTACTAAAATGCAATTTTGCCAACAAGACTGTCTTGGAGCGATTGACGATACACATGTACGTGTGTGGACACCAGTTGAGGTAGCCGATACGTACCAAAATTGTAAAGGGGCATTGTCGCATAATGTGATGGTCGTCTGCGACTTCAATATGTTGTTCACATACGTCGTCATTGGCTGGGAGGATCTGCCCATGACGCAAGGGTTCTAAATTCATTTTTAGATGATCCTGATTAGGGCTTTCCACATCCTCCTCCAGGTATAACTAACTTCTTTATGTATTCTAGCTAAACTGTAAACATTTTTTTTTTTATGATTCTTCAAAAAACATTCAATATTTCATTATAGGCAAATATTACTTAGTAGATGAGGGTTATGCGAACAGAGGTGGGTTCCTCGCCCCACATAGATGAGTTCCTTATCATGTTCCCGATACGCGTTGTAACCTTTCTGGACCTGTGGAGTTGTTTAATTATAGACATGCATCGCTTTGGAATGTTGTGGAGAGGACCTTTGGTGTTTTGAAAAAAAGGTTCCGCATTCTTGATGGCATGAACAATTACCCGTTGGAGAAGCAAGCTAAAATTGTTATAACATGTTGTGTAATTCATAATTTTATCAGAAGGTTCGATATGAACGACCCTATCTTTCAAAAGTTTAATGCTGATGGAGTTTATGAGAAAGGAAATGGGACGGGTTCAAATCAACCAACTCAGCGTAATACAGACGACATGGGAACTGTGAGGGATAGCATAACTACTGCTATGTGGGCAGAACATGAGTCCATCTCGTATTGTTAACTTAATATTGGGGTACGAAGAATTCTGAGGGATGATTATTAGTAGCTTCATATTATTAATTTAGATATGTATTAATGCCGTGTTTTTAAATGATATATTAGTAGTTGAAATTATTACGGAGAATTTATTTTTAATTCAGTGATAAAAAAAATTACCAAACAACTAATTAATATTATTTAAATGTAAATTGAAAAGTTCAATAATCAAATAATAAAAATCTTTAATAAAATGCATCAAAATATTCTATCTTAAAATCCTTTTTGAAAAAATATACTAAACAATTATTCATCAATTTATTTAACTCAAATATAATATTCAAATAATGAACCAAACACATATTCAAATTCAAACCCTATTATGTTAAATACAACTCAACTCAACTCAACTTTTTTTCAAAAAAAAACTATTCTAAAAAGTGTCAAAATAGTGAATAAAATGGAGCCTTTCTTTTTTTTAATTTTTTAATTATGATTTTAAGAAAAAAAAATTAAGGAATAAACAATTTTAGCACGCACTTTTAGATGTTTAAAAGGTAACAACAAATATTCTTTTGACTTGAGCATTCCAATATTAAAAAAACTATTTATAATTATTGGATTAAAGTCTTTTGAACTTAAATATTTGTATGTTATCGAAGTACAATTAAACAAATGATACATAATTTAATAATTTTCTCAACAGTAAATATAATCCTTATTGCAATAACTATATTTACATATTTTCCTAGCTCACATATTTTAAAATGTTCCCATATATATACTTTGGGTTGCATCATTGATTAGGCTATTTGAAGTTCAAAAATTTTCATCTTCCATTTAAAAAATATAGATTAAAATATAATTTAAAGCTAAAAATCAAGTAAATACTTATAACATGAATTTTCATAAGTTTCATTGCCATGAAATTGTTAAATAACCGCTTCAATAGTTGACAGATCAAAAGCAAGCGGTGACTAGAGTAATAATAATAGTGCCCATCATGTGTTCGATAAATATTGCCATAATAATAAGATTCTAATACCAAAACATGCATATGAAATAGACAACTTACTATTACTATGGATTTGTCTAACTAAAATAAAAGCTACACATACCTTTTTGAGTCAGTGGTCCACACATGCTATACAATATAAATAATTTGGAAAGTTATATCAAACAATGCCTCATTGTTTAAAACAATTTGGCACATCACATACCACTTGGTGCTACTCTATTTTGAGTACATCATTGTTTTTTAGTTGTGCAACAGATTTTCAGAAAGATAATTCTTAGGGTTTCTTAATTGTTCAAGTGATTCAAGGTTTTTTATTAACCCAAAAACCAAATCGATTTAATCAATTCTTAAACCTTTAAATTGATCAGTTTAGATATAGCAATAGTCAAACCAACCAGGTGGGTATTATGCCCACCCCAACTTTCAATAATTCTTTAAGGGCTGTTTTAACGTGTCCCTTGGGCACAGATTAAGGACAATAGAAGACAAAATATTTATTTATTTTTATGTATATTAGAAATTGACAAATTATAATTAAACAAATTGAAAATTCAAGTGAATAATCCGTCTCATATTCTAGAAATTTGAATATTTTATTTATAATTTTAAAGTTCCAAAATAATGACTATTACACAATAAATGCGTAAAGCTTTCCTAAAATTTTCAAAGGGTAAAATAGATAACTTGCTATTCAAATATTAATTTTTAATAATTAAAGTTAAATTTTCTGTGACTTTTCAATTAAAATTCCTAAAATTAAAAGTTCATATCTATAAAATTGTAGACAAAATTTTGGAGGGGTCAAAATAGGTATTTCATCTAAGATTAATGCATTAAATAATAATACTTGCCTTCAAAATCAAATATATAAATGCTGACGCATGTGCAAACATCAATACCAAACAAATATGTTTTCTTCTTTTATTATTATTATTATTATTTTCTTAAATATAATTGAAGTACAGCACTATCATGAATTTTGGTGCTTTATTAGGAGAATATCATACACTATCTTAAGGTTTCTCAACTTATTATTTGGATGATAATTTTTATATTTTTATCAACTAGACCCAAAGTTTGACTTGTATCATGGATACCCTTTTGCATTATCAAGTGGACCTTAGAGTTTAAAACTTTTATCTCAAATACCCCGTTGTCCTAACTCTATTACATTGTTGTTAGATATATAAAACATTTTCTTATAAAACATAAGTTACCATTTACCCAACACTTTATTATAAGACCAAAGTTATCATCTTGCTCATATACCACAAATAGCAACATAACAAAGTTAGGGCAAAAGGGTGTCCATGTTTACAATTTAAAAAATTAAAGGAACAATTAAAAAAAAAAATGCAAAAATTATCATCCCAGTGATAAATTTGAAAATTTTAAGGACAGTCTAAATATTTTCCTATACTTTATTTGCTTGAAAAATCACTAAATTACAAAATGTTAAAGAGCCATATTTTTCACTTTTGACAATTGATTTCTTTTAGGCATTAGAGATTTTAAGTATCTCAAGTATAAATAGAATAATGAATTTTAGAATTTTTTTATATAGAACAAATTTGCAAATTTAGGATGCACTTTAAGATGTTAAATAAATAAATAATATATACATATTATTTTGACATAAACTATAGGATATCAAATTAAAAATTTTGTTATCGGGTCAAATACCTTTTAACTTATTAAATTTGGGACTTCAAAACTTAACTTAAACTTCAAATTAAAGATTAATGTTCTTTTAATTTTTACTAATTATCATTTTAAGTTTTTTTTTTTTTTTTTTGAGTAAAAGGAATTAATAATTTTAGCACACACTTTTAGATGTTTAAAAATAACAACAAATATTTTATTGACTTAAGCATTCCGATATTAAAATAAAGAGTAAACGACTTTTTTATTGTTTGAGACTAAAGTGTTAGTCACCAAAACGTTAAGACCAGAATAGAAGAAATCCTTAAGGTTAGGGACAAAAATGTTAAAACCTCTTTTAGACAGATGACTGCAATTCAATGGATTCGCGATCTTGTATAAACTTAATCCAAGTTGAATGTCATATATCCCTTCAAATATGGAAAAAGGATTTTTTTAAATTATATAATGAATGTTTAATAATTTTTTATACTAGCTTTTGAAAATGCTACAGTAAGTTTGAGCTGGAAGGCGATAGTGGAATGTAGAAAGACTATATTACCCTTTATGCATTCTAGAAGCAGTTAACAATTTTTTTCCCCTGGGGTATGATTTGACTAAAAAATATCTCACTGAAGTATTTAAAATGACAAAGGTCCTCCTACCCTTAAATTTTCCGTGTTAAAAAAGATGATAAAAGGGTAATTTTGTAAATATACATTAACTTCTAATTGTGTACGATCTAACGGTTCACTCAAATTTTACCACCGATAGGGGAAATTTTGTTATTTTAAAAAACTGAAGAACAATTTTGTTATGGAATCATATCTCAGGGTTTCCATTTTTATCTCTTCTAGAAAGCAGAAACCATAAACGGAGGAAAAAAGAAAGAAGAAGGAGAATGGCTTAATTTACACTGAAGCATACGCAAAAGATAAAAAGAAGAGAAGGCCCAGTTGAATTGTATTATTTGATAGAAGGCTCTAGAATCCTCTTCCAACATTTAAAATATGCAATTATGGAAAGATTGGCAAAATGAATCTTTGACAACCAAATAACATGCCAAAGCGTGTCAAAATTAATTATTTTCTGTTCATATTCGTTTCTTGACCTTCAACACCAACTACGCCAACTATAAATCTTGGGTGGGTCTTTTGAACTTCTCTCTATATCGTAAAACCATTCTGTCTTTTAAAGTTTGATCATTTGAGAAGTTGAGTAATTAAGAAGACATGGAGAATAGCGGAGAAAGTAGAAAAAGAATGGTGGTGATTGGTGGAGGCTTGGCTGGTTCACTCGTTGCTAAAACTCTTCAATACTCTGCTGATGTTACCCTCATTGACCCGTGAGTTTTTTCTCTTTTCGTTTCTTTTTAATTTCTCATTGTTCTGTTTTTGAATGATGAAATGGTTGAGTTTAAGTTGTTATGAAGAGAGGGATGAGATCAAATGGAACCCATTTCATAAATTGGAAAAATCACCCCAGTTTACACTGTTTTATTGAGATTTGAAATGTTAGCTGATTGAGTTAGGTTTCAACTATTAAGTTCTTTGAAAGATTAAAAGATAAGTTGATGTTTGAAATTTCAGTTTTAAGAATTAAGTCACAAGCGTTGGGAGTCTGGGAGTATCAAAGGAATGATCTAATTCAATTTGAAAAAGAAAATATTAACGAATAATTGAGAGGTTAACGTTAATCCATTTATGCATGAATATGATTCTACTTTTAGGATAATTTTCTACTATGTTAGACCCATCAGGTGCAACACAGTGTTACAAACATAAATATTTTATAGTAAAACAAATCGATTCTGATTCTGTTATGCTGGAAAATGTTTAAATTTATTATTTTGTTATATTGATGTGATATCATGAGTGTAAGATCTTGGAGTATCCATTTATGGTCAAAGTAACCAGATCCTATGCTTTTTGGAGATGGAAAGTATATAGGAATACCAGCACACTGAAGCTAGAAGTAATTAAGAAAATAGTAAGAGTGGTTGCAAGGTCTTGCATGTCAGTCTTTGTTACAAAGTTCTTATATATGCTAATAATTGTGCTGCGATTGATTGATGATTGTAATCTTTTCCACTGAGAAGTGAAGAATTGTTAAGTAATAGACATTTAAGGAATCATATAACAATTCTGGTAAAGATGGGTTGAAGGTGGAGAGCTGACTGGGGAACGTTGACTGATTGATAATTGTAGTTCTTTGTGTGTGGGATTGGTAGAGGGCAGACTCCATACAGGTAGAGAGAGAGTGCATTATAGAGTCTCAGTTCTTGCAGTAGTTATATGGTTACTAGGTTATTTATCTATGTGTAATTATTTATTGCTAATCAATGGTCCAGCTATATTACCACATCCAAATATCCAACAGTAAGACACTTCATAGTCTGCATTGATTTATCATGATCAATGCTACTCTTCTAACAACTAAAGTCATTCCTTTTACCATGATTGAGTGTAGTACCAGGATTATCTTATAATCTCTTTATGCTTCATTTTTCACATTTAACCGAAGTGTGTTTGGTAAATCCATAAGTGGTAAGCCAAAGAAGGAGATAGCGATCATGGATAATTTTTTATAGTTAATTGCTATGATCTTTGACTCTAAGAATAAAATTAAATTTGAAACAGGAAAGAGTATTTTGAGATAACATGGGCAAATTTGAGGACAATGGTGGAACCGTCATTTGGAGAAAGAACGGTGATTAACCATAGAGATTACCTCATCAATGGACGTATTACCACATCTACTGCAACCAATATCACTGAAAATGAAGTTGTGACTGCAGATGGTCATTTTATTCCTTATGATTATCTTGTCATTGCCACTGGCCATGTGGAGCATGTTCCCAAAACAAGGACCGAGAGACTTAATCACTACCAAAAAGGTATGGCCATTGTGTTAGAATTCAGCTTTAGGCAATTCAAAACTATGATTATCTTTTTTATCATTAATGTTTAAAAAGACTTTGAATTTTATTCTGTGAGAATCCAGTTTCGCGATATACTAGTATAATATTCCTTCTGCTAAAGTTAACTCTGTTTTCTTTGCCCTGGCAGAGAATCAACAGATTAAATCTGCCAAGTCAATTTTGATTGTTGGAGGAGGTCCCTCTGGTGTGGAGCTTGCTGGAGAAATAGCTGTTGATTACCCGGATAAGAAGGTTACTCTAGTGCATAAGGGGTCAAGGTTGCTGGAATTTATTGGACCTAAAGCTGCTGATAAGGCACTAAATTGGCTGAGATCACATAGAGTTGAAGTGAAATTGGGACAATCAGTCGATCTGAATGATTTTTCAGATGAAGGCACATATGTAACATCAGCAGGAGAAACTATCCTAGCAGATTGCCATTTCCTGTGCATAGGGATACCACTAGGCTCATCATGGCTTAGGGAGACTGTATTGAAGGATAACTTGGATAATCGTGGAAGGTTGATGGTTGATGAAAATTTAAGAGTCAAGGGTCACAAGAACATATTCGCAATTGGAGATATTACTGATATTCCTGTAAGTCCTAACCTGTCTTATTTTGAATCCTGCTAGTGTTTATTTAGTTACTTAGTTGTGTTATTTTCTTCAAATCTAGCTCATATAAGCACAAACCAATGCTTTTGTTTCAAAACAGTTGGATAATGCCAACATTAATATAGGAGAGGATGTTTTGAATATTTTTAGAATTTTTATTGCTATTCTACTCTCCTCGCCTGTTTGCGTTGAAAGGCCTAATTTTGGCTGGAATAGTGTCTGATGTATCTGTTCTTTAATAATATGAATTAATGTAAACTTGAAGTAGTGTATATACAGGAACTGGTTCCAGGTCTTTCTCTTGGGAGTGCTTAATTGACATTTTGATTGTTATTATCATATAAGAAAATTGGTGTTATGCATTAACTGTATTTCTTTATATTAATTAGTTTGGAAACGAGTAATATAGCGCCTTGATAAACATTTTGAAGCTTTGAGAATAGAAAATCTTATCTGTATTATCTCTTGGAAAACCTTATTGCAGGAAGCAAAACAAGGGTATTTGGCACAAAAGCATGCTTTAGTGACTGCTAAGAACATTAAGCTATTGATGGATGGACAAAAAGAAAGCAAACTGGTAACATATCATCCTGGATCCGCAATTGCAATTGTTTCACTGGGGAGGAAAGAAGCAGTGGCACAATTTACTTTTGTCACGATTAGCGGCTGTATTCCAGGTATGATCAAATCCAAAGATTTGTTTGTGACTAAAACAAGGAAGGACCGGGGCTTAGATGCTGGTAATGCAAGTTCGAAGAATAAGGGCAATTAGTTTGACAACATAATACTCTTATTTTTTCTTTGTGAGAGTTGCCGCACCAATCCTTTGATACCATGTATTGTCAAAGGCTTATTTCTTTGTATTTCTGCTGTGAGAGTTGCTGTACCATTACTATGATCATGTATTTTTGAGGTTTCTTTATTTTTATTTTTATTTTTTAAATGTCAATGTTTTGATTAGATTGGAAAATTTATTTGTTTGTTTGCAATTGGATATATTTTTATTCTGTTTATATCTTATTATATTCTTTGTATATTCAGATTGATGCATGTAAAATTTTTAAGAGGGAAGGTTAATGTCTATTATCAGCATCAGGTCCGTTTAACATAATATCTGCTAAAAAATAGGAGCCCTTTAATTAGTGAGAAACTCATCTGGGTTGAAATATTATTTCAACTAAAATTCTAAGAGAAGGACAAATACTTTTCAACATCTGCATCGTATGGTTTTATGGATATGGATATTGTTAGGGCCAAAAATCGTCCTCGGTCGAAATAGAAAAGCAGGATCATTTGTGAAGAGAAGATCAGACCTAAATCCCAAAGAGGCCTAAGCCAGATTAGTCCTATTCGATACGAGATATGGCCTGCCCAAACCATCTGGGCATGGGCCTCCCAGTTCCAGTTCACTTCTTGGGCCTATAGGCGAGTTTCGAGCCCACGGCCCACTGATCATATTCCTGTTCCTGATCAATCTCCTACTTGAAGTCATTTTCTTGTTCTTGATCAATCTCTTGCTCAAAGTCATTTTCCTGTTCAGAACATTTTCCTATTCGAAGTTACTTTCCTGATCAGAATCACTTTTCTATTCGGACACTGGTAAGCTAGCTTACCACGGCCCTAATTTTTTTAGGGTTTGCATCAGAGTCACATTAGGACTCCTACTCCCACCAGGATTGGGAGATCAGACAGTCACTATATAAACAGAGGTTAGCCCTCCCACACTGGACAGACGACATTATACCTTCACACTCGAAGCTCCTACTTGAGAGTTTTACATCACTGCCATAGTCACAGTCTCCGACTAGACTTCCGGTAATCTCTACTCCCTAGCCTTCACTATATTAGCCTCTCTCAGCCTTGCTGACTTGAGCGTCAGAGTGCCTACGGCAAACACCACCCCGGTATTTCTCGTTCGCTTCACGTGTGTGTTTCTCTACGTGTGCAGGTGTAGGGGATCGCTAGTGGCCTCAACCTCACGGGATCAAACCCCCCTTCCGTACAGGTAGATTTTTACGTCTATAGTTTGGCGCCCACTGTGGGGCCTCTAGCAACATTCAGCTTGACGAACCTTGCTACATAGAGGAATTTTCCATGGCTGACCCTTCGGACAACGCTAACTTCGGCCTCGAGGCCAGACTGGAGGCTTTGACCGCTCTCGTACAACAAAATTCAGACAAGATGGCCGCACTGGAAGCCGAGAACAATGCAATCCGGACCGAAAACGTGTCCATTAGGGTTGAAAACCAGTCTCTAAGAGAGAGGGTGAGTCAATTCTATGATCTCCAGTTCTTGCCCAACCAAGTACCCCCCAATCGGTTCCGCGCCCCTATCCCATCCATGCAACCTCTCTCCACACCAGAGCATCGGCCCTCGGTCTCCGGTAAAGGGCCGCGTCCATTAAGTGCACTAGCACTCGACGACTCCGTCTGGACTAATGGAGACAAAGATATGCCAACAGAACACCATCCAGCCGATCCATCCTAGCCTTGTGATCAAGACAATCCAGTAACAGAAAGCTCGCATCCGCAAGACCAGCTCATCCTTATCATCCTGCCTCACTTCCAGTCAACCACCACAACACAAACCCCCTTCGGCTCGGTTCACCCTCGCAGGTTGAACGGCCAAACCAAACCAACTCCAACACTTGAGCTCATCCATCCTGACGGACCGAGCGACTACCAGACGACTCCCCTGACCATTCATGTAGGGCGGAATAATAGAACAGTGACAATGGGAGTCATCCAACCGGAAGGAATGAACGAAGATCCATGCTACCAAGGAATGCATGACGGAATGATCCATCAGACTGCCCCACGAGGGGTGACCCAACGAAATGTGTCGAGAACGAATGCAATAGCAAACCCAGTAAGACGGTATGACCCGGTAGTATCCTCCTCTCCTATGGAACAAGTACTGGCTAAGAGGTTGACCGACGTCGAGGCAGTGATGAGACGCATTCCAGGAATGCCGGTCCCAACCAAGAAGAGCAGGCCCCACTGTTGTACTGATTCACCCTTTGTGGATGAGATCGCCCTAGCCGACATGCCTTAGAAATTCACCATCCCCAACATGAAACCGTACGATGGTACCACCGACCCGGATGACCACATAGCCTCGTACAAGCAGCGGATGTTCACAGTCTCAATACCCCGATCACTTAGGGAAGCTTGCATGTGCAAGAGTTTCGATTCTAGTTTATTCGGTCCGACACTCCAATGGTACACGAACCTCCTAACGGATCCATTGACTCATTTGCCTAGCTTACCGACACCTTCGTGGAACAGTTCGCCAGCGGCAAGAAACTAGAGAAACTGTCGGCCGACCTATACCGAATATACCAGAGAATGGCAGAGCCACTGAGAGAATATGTTAGCAGATTCAACAAAGAAAAGATCTATATCCCATCGTGTAGCCCCGAGACAACTGTGGACGCTTTTAGGAAAGGCCTCCTCCCGGATGGAGAACTGGACAAAGAACTTACGAAGCTGGGTTGCACCACAATGGAAAACGCTCTAGCCCGGGCAGTGATCCAAATAAGATGAGAAGAAGACGAGATTAATCGAGCGGCTCATTCCAGATATGAGTCAAGGCAGAATGACCGGAAGCCAGAGCGCAGACCGGTACCAACCCTTGTCACGTAATACGGGCTGAGTTAGAAAGCCATATGATCGCTAGCCCGCGAGAAACGATATTAGGCAGTTTGGATCGAACCAACACAAAATACCGGAGTACAACCTCAACGTCGAACCAACGCAGGTCGTAGCAATAATGAAAGGAATGGGATCCACCGTCAAGTGGCCTGGCAAGCTCACCCCCGAGGGCAAAGACGTCAACAATAGTTCGAATGCCATTCACCTCAAACGCTACTACTTCTAGGTGAACTTTGTCTATTTTTTTTTTTCTTTTTCGTTTTTCGTTTTTTCATTTTAAAAAGGATGAGTTGGCCTATCCACCTCCTCTTAGACAGTCGACCTCATGGCCAAAATATTTAATGAAGTACTATTCAGAAGTTTTCGTCTCCAAATCAACCCTGGTCGATGAATTATGTACACCTTCGAATCGACCCTGCTCGATTCACGATGACACCTTCAAATCGACCCTGCCTGATAAACGTACTTACAGCTTCGAATCGACCCTGCTCGATTCACAATGACACCTTCAGATCGGCCCTGCCCGATAAACGTACGTACACCTTCGAATCGACCCTGCTTGATTCATGATTACACCTTCAGATCGGCCCTGCCCGATCCTCGTACTGACATTTCTGGATCGGCCCTGCCCGATTCACGAGTTTACACTTTTCAGATCGGCCTCACTCGGTCTACGAAACTCAGCACGGCTTATGATTCACACCACCCAGTCGGCCCGATCTGACCCAAGAACTGCACTCCAGTTTGACTTCTTTCATCCAGGGGACTATACACTCGGTCGGCCAAACCGAATGAATGGTCCTTACACTTTTGACAAACAAAGCACCAACTTAGCCCAACATAAAGCCTACATACCTTAGCCACTGGGCCACTCCAAAGTAACATACATGACATAGTGCACCTACAAGTAATGAAACAACGAACAGTTCATTCATCCACAAAGACAACACCAAGAGTCAAAATAGTGAAATGTAATATATATAGCATCAAACGGCCCAGTTCAGAATACAAAAAATGGCACACACGCCAGGCAAAAGGGCATCAGAGGCCCCAAAGTACATAAACAAAGAAAAACGCTAAGTATCCTCAGCATGAGCCTCATCCTCTATCGCCGAATCGGTCGCCATGTCCGCACCGCCAGTGCTCGGCCCAGCAGCTTGATCGCTCACAACCACAACACCCGATGGACGCGGCTGGCTGAGGTCAAGCATCTGCTCCTCGTCCTGCCCCCTCAGATCAGCAATGGAGATGCACTGCTCCCTGAGAGACTCGACTTCTGCGGTTCTCTCGGCTAACTCACGCCTCAATCTCTCGACCTCACACTCACTATCCCTGAGGCGCTGCTGACTCTCCTGCTCAGCCTTCCGGGATGTTGCCTCCCTCTGGAGCAAGCTAGTATTGGCCTTGGATACATCTTGTATCCGTTTCTCCTGCTCCACAATAGACTTCCTCAGATGAAGACTGCTAGTGAGTACCTGCACAACAAAACATTGCCATCAGAACAAAATTCAAAAACGAGAAAACTGAATAATACTATCATACCTGAACGGCGCGGGATACCCCTCAATCAGCGGTAGCAACTGCACCCATCTGGTTCAGACGTGCCTCGTCCGCCGGGAACAAGAAAGAGTCGGCTAGCTTGCTCATAGAAGTTGCATCGGAATAAGTCGATGCAGTAGCCAGAACCGTGAATGTAATCGTCCCAGCCTCCTCATCCACAGCTGTAGCATGGGACGACCCGAACCCGGTTGCAGGCTGCTGACTCGGCGGTATTGCCAACACGTCTTTCGCCCTCACGTCCGCCCTGGCCAGCGACTCCCTCCTCCCCTTCTCTCGACGCCGGGCGATGGACTTGCTCGCACTCGGGACGCTCAACTTCTTCATCAGTGACTCTGCAAGTGCAAACTCTCCAATGGTTAGTGGGTTCAGCCCGGACTCACCAAAAATGAACTGGTTACAGTATCGACTCATGAGAACGTCCCAAGTCTGCTTCAACGAGGGGAAGGGAGTACCTCACTGGATCGCCTCTACACCGGCCCAAAGAGTGCTGGTCCTCAAGTTTGACTCCGCTAGCACCACTCGCCAGTCCCTCCGCTCCGACGGGATGGCTAACACCTTCTGGGTCGCAACATCCAGGCCGTCCCCGCTTTGCCCAGCCCGATTATACTCAAGCTCTGCAAACAAAAAACACAATCAAGATTTAGTAATCAAAGCATAAAGGAAACTATTAAGTTCTTATCAGTAGCTCGCTAACCGCCAAGGATCTCGCCCTGTCCTCTCTCTCCAAAAACAGCTTGACCCCTCAGG